ATCAAGAACACGTGTGTGTTCAACTTTTGCACAAAAATGCATTTATTTAATAAAACATTATTAGATACCCTATCATACATTTTTAACAAATTACGTCATTATAAACACGTTTCAACAAACTAACTTGTAGTAGCTTTATTTCACCAGCAGCTGTCGCTCACGTCTAAGTATTAATCACCTTCTCAACCAAACCAGTAACTTAATCACACAAACCTAAATCAGCTATCAAAACCAACGAAATTTAGTTTTTAATTATTCAAACCTCTAAATATGTTATTGCAACTTTGTTTTTCTATTCAACATTAAATACTTTTTCATAATAAATCATCATATCTCAGCTCTGAAGCATTTTTTCTATTGTAACAATTGTTTAAAAAAGTATAAATATGGTATTTTTGGTGAGCAGGTGTTTGCTTTGTGTAAAAGGTTTTCTGCAGTGGGAAACACGTCCTTGATTCACTTGACAAAAACATGATCAGCATGTTTAACTTAATGAAATGCAACATAAACTGCCTATTTTTAGTCATCACTACCATTTTATGTCTGATCAAAGATGTGTAAATGTCTCCACACAAATTACACAAAGGACCAAAACAAAACCAAGAAAAAAAAACCTGAAAATGTTACAGAATGATAAAAAAAAAACGTGTTTACTTTTTCTTTTTAAGCTTTGTTGGGCCAACAGATGAGAACAAATCATATTTAAAGACTTTATTAATTCACCYTTAATATTTAACAGATCTCATTGACTGAGGGCTAAATCTGTTCATTWTAGAAGTTTTCATTAAACTTTATAAAACCAATCTGGACAAAATGTCTAGACTGAGAAAAACACAACAAAAAAGGGGGGTCAAATAAAAAACTTCAGAAATATTCAGACACTCAGATTTTACTAAAAATAAACCATCAAYATTCATGTTTCAAAATAAGGTTTCACATTTCAAAGAACAGGCCTCACCTCTGCATAAATCAGGTATTTTATTCTTAAAAGAAGTGAAAGAACACTGAAATGAGAGGATTTTTTTTCTGATTCTGTGAAGCCTGAGAAAATGTCTTTTACCAGAGAATTCCAGGATAAAATCATAACTATATAACCTTTGACACAGAATAGTTGCTGAAATGATATCAAACGTCATAAATGAAGGAGCTCCTTGATGCTGTAAGAATCAACACCTGTGTCCCTTCAGTTTCTTTCTGTCTCCAACATGTTGAGTCTGTGGGAGCTTCACTCAATCTGTGGTGATTACTTATTTTAGTAAAGGTTGTTTTACTTTGAAGTTTGTTGTTTTCCCAATCATTATCTGCATATTTTCTGTCACTTTATGGGGATGATTTCTGTTGTCATCATTGTTCTTGTAGCAGTTTTGGTGTCTCGTGTTCATCTTTCTGCTGACTTGAGTTGAATGTTTTTTTTTTTGCATTCATGTGAAACGTTGACCTCGAGGATGGTGAAAGACAAAGAGCTCATGTCTGTTCAAGCCACTCTCTGTTCCATAAACTGTGAATCAATAACATGATGGCGATGATGATGAGTCCTCCCTCCTCTTTCTCTACACTCCTATTCTTTTCTCTTTCTATTTTTTTGTCTTGCTCCCATCTTCTTGCTCACTCTCTCTGCAGTCTGTGCCTCGGCCACCTTTGGCACCGTCAGCCCACGGGCACCTGTGCCAAGCCTGGCAACTCAAGCAGGACGCTCTGTTTAGCTCAGTTCAATTGACTCATTTAGGCAATTGCACCCTGACTCTGATCTCTGTGGCCGGCCCTTTATCTTGGTGCTGGCCTTCGAGTGGACACGCTGAGGCTTTTCTGACTGMAGATGATCACCTTTATCAGTCTAAGAATTAATAATTGTTCCTTCTTGAATGATTCATGATTGTGTCATTATTTGGGCTCATGTTTGATTTTATGCAGCCTATAGTGAGCCTAAAATATCCATTTCTAACAACATCTTTATTTTGCTATAATCTTCATGATATATTTGAAAAAAATGTAATTATTATAAGCTTACTATAATTAAATCCGAACTGTTTTCCTAAACCCTCCCATACGAGATTAACCCCATTTCTTCCCAAAAAATGGAAGCTAACAGAAGCATTTTTTGTGCCATCCTCTCCTTATTCCATTTTCTCTTTCAGCTCAGTGACAGATGGCGAGTCCTTCTCCCCCAGGGGGGAAGCCAGTCTCTGTGAATGCGGCCGCATGTCAATCACCGGCTCTCATGTGATGGCTCTTGCCAATGACGTGCCAGCCATATGGGCCTGGCATCAGAGCTGGTATGTAACCCACCCAGTCCTGCCTCTGAGGTGCCACACGGCTCCCTCCACACGTTCTGAGCTGGGGGGGTGGGGGGGATAGCAGCAGCAGCAGCAGCATCATCATCATCGGCAGCATCAGACAGACAGAGCAGGGTGGCAGCAGAAGGGAGAAGAGGAGAGAAGAGAAGAGGCGCGAGCGCAACATCAGCATCCGCGCGGGGCGTGTGGATGTGATGCCCACCCGGAGAGAGATGGTGTAAACAAACCCGTGTTGTTTTGTCCCGTCACTGAGCTCCACCGCGGAGGTAAGGTTTCACATCTCCTTCTCTGAAAAAAAAAAAAAAAAAA